AGAAAGAAAGAAGGAAGGAAGGAAGGAAGGAAGGAAGGAAAGAAAGTTAGTTAAAGTTAAAAAAATTAAGTTAATTGATGACAAACAGGGAAGTTGGAAAGACACCTGGGATTCTGACAGAACGTGTTCAGACAGTATGTCCCACTGGGGAAGCTGTTATGGAGTAAATGGGGCCTCAGGGATACCAGAACTAGGTCTATGTCATCCAGCACAGGGTCATTACCAAGAAGACAGGTGGAATAAAATAAGCCCATGATTATCATAAAGTAGAACATACCTTGGTGAGGTGTGTCTCTAGGTGGAATATCCATTACAAGTGCAAGACAAGACAGTACTGCAGGACAGGGTGCATCTTGAGTTTAATGGAGAAATCTCTGAGGCAGCAGAAGACAAGAAAGACCTAACCTAACTGTAAAGTAGGTCCTTGGAAAAAATGGACAAACCTAATTGCTGTCTTCATCTCTTGTGGATGCTGATGGAGAAAATCAACCTCTGTGTAACAGATGCTGAGATTCCATGGTCTCTTGCAACCTTTTCATCTCATATTTTCTCTACAGAAACTATTTCAATGCTTCTTTACTCTGATCAGTCTCTGATCCCATCATTCCCCTCCTTTACTTATCATAGATTTTTAACTAATATTTTATAGAGAAATTGAAGATGAACTACTGACCACTTCCCAAATCATCCATTCATTTAATAAGTATTGATTAAGGGCATGCTGTCTGCCAGGCATAATAATAGGTGCTGTTTATAAAAAGATGAACAGAGACAGGTGACTATACTCTTCAAGATTAATCTCCTAAACAGAACCGAGTTCTTTCTTCCTTTATTACTGCCTGTTTTATTAGATCTTATTAAATCTCGTTAGATCTGTATTAGATCCTGTGTTCTTTGTCTTACCCCACAAGACTCACTACAATTTTTTAAAACACTCTTCTCTCACTCTTTTTTCTTCAGTTTCTTTTTCCTATCAGAATGTTGTATTCAGTTGTCTTTTTAAAAAATATTCTCCCTCAAACTCCTTTGAGATTCTGATTATTACTCTCTCCTGACCTTCTTCCTCACGGATTTCATGGATGCATTGCTGGCTCTTGGCATGGTATTCGCTTCCTCACCTACCACTTCAAAATTGCTCAACTTGCTCTCACTGGAGTCACAAAATTCAGTCAGTATACTTCAGATCTCATCTTACTGACTTTTTGGTAACAGTTTTAATATTCAGCAAATTTTCCTACATTAATGGTTCCTTTCTCTAGTCTTCTAACACAACACAAACTCTGGTTTTCTTCTTAAATATCTGGCCATCAATTTTCAGTGTCTTTTATAAACTGCTCTTCCTCTGGGCTTCTGATAAACACTGGTGGTGTTTTCCTTCACTTCACCTCCCTTGGGTGATGTCATGAATGAAAAGTTTCAGTTATATAAATTAGTGGCTTTCAAATCTTAACATGTGTAAGAATCAACAGGAAAATTCTCTTTGTCTCATAGACCAAGGTGGGACCAAATTTAGTTTTTTAACAAGCACACCTGATAATTCTGGAAAAGTAGTCATCACATTCAGATTTCTCTTAAGCTCTGAGCTAAATCATAAATTCTGCAGTAACATGAATTGTGTCTTTCCTACTTAACATGGTCTTCCCAGAGTCTAGCAGGGTATCTAACAAACACAAGTGTTCATTTACTAGTTGTAGAACAATTGAATGTATATGTGGTGATACATGTCTGTATCTTCAGCCCAGACTTCAGTTTTCATTCCCTACCAACCACCAATCTCAGTAAATGGCCCTATCATTCACTGGTATCAAATCAGAAACCCCAATTCTTCTATCTACCTCAACCCTGCCAGCCAATCAATTGACAAGCATATCTACTTTAATCTTCTTATATCTTGCAAAACCTTCCACTTCTTTCCATCACCATTGCCAATGTCCTAGTACAGGCCACCATCATTTTTCAACTGGATTACTTCAATGCTCTTGTCACACTGTATCTATTCTTACTTCAAGCTTCTTAAACAAAACTTGCATCATTAGAGTTTAAACACAGTAATGTGGCTTGCATTGTCCTTTATGAGATGGCCTCTGCTCACCTCTACCAAATTCATTTTCAACTTGCTTACCTCTGCTCACCCCACTTTATGTCCTACTCAAATTAGGGAAAGTATTTTACTTAACTTTTATCCTAATGATATTTCTTTTTACAAAAGCTTTTAAAGACATTTATTTAAATGCCAGTTCCAAGTGAAAAATTTTATTTAGGTCTCTATATAAGTTAGTTTTTCATATTTTGATTCCTTTACTATACAGTTTCCAACTCCACTTTTCAGCCTTTGGTAACTTAATTTTTGATATAGATTTTGTTAACTTAATATCTGATATAGATTATTATTGTTACATTATTATTGAATTCTTAATTTCACATAATATGTATTTTCTTTCAAGAATAAATTTTTGAAACTGTCTCAACAATGAAAATATTTTTAATTTTTCTCTAACTGATTTTAATGGAAACGTTTCACAGTTTTGTGCTTTATAAACTCTCATTCTGTTGAATGGTATCACTAATAATTTTTCAAAAAAGTAGACAATATTTTTTTAATAAAATCTGAAATTATTTTTCTATTATCTAAATGATAGGATGATAAAATTCTTATGTCAGAGAATTTTTTTATACACTCCTTTTTTTGTTCTTTTTCTTTTCTTTTGAGATAGAGTCTCACTCTATTACCCAGGCTAGAGTTCAGTGGTGCAATCATGGCTCATTTAAGCCTCCTGGGCTTAAGCAATCCTCTTGCTTCAGCTTCCAAGTTGCTGGGACTACCTACTAATTATGGTTTTTGTTTCTGTTTTTGTTTTTGTAGAGACAAGCTGGACTTGAACTCCTGTGATCAAGTGATTCTCCCACCTCAGCCCCTCAAAGTGCTGATATTACAGGTGTAAGCCACCATGCCCAGCTTTCAATATTTTTTTGGGCATTGGACATTTTGCATTGGACAACATGAAACAAAACCAAATTTTCCTCCTTAAAAGGTCAATTACTTTTGTCTACTTAGATAATTATAAGATATTTTAATCTATGTAGTTCATTGCTTTTTATGCTGTGATCAGGTGGAGATATGTTTTCATTGTATCTTCATTGTATTTTTCCTGGAATACAGTGAAGTTTTTAAACCCACTGTCAAATAACTAGCTTTCTAAAATATCAACAAATCAATAAGACAAAGCCGAGTTTATTGCTTACCTCAGTGAGAGAAAGCACTACTCCCAGTGTTAACAGCACCTCTGAAAAAAAAGCACAAAGGTATTTATGAGATTCTGAAGTATGGCTTAAGGTAGGTCTTTTAACAGGGAAGAGGAAAGGAAGAGATTTGATTAGGATTGGGTAAGAATCATGGTAGAATAATACAGTATTGGTAGGCAAAGGTAGGAGAGGATTTTGAAGAGAAAGGTTCAAAATGTTTTGGGGAAAAAAAAGAGCCACAATAGCATTAATATTCCTAAAAGATAACATTTTTAATATCATTAAACATAAGTATTCAAATTTCCCCACATTTACAAATAAATTGGAAGATGAAAAAAATATCTTGGGATATAACCTTTGCTTCCTGTTGGAGAGCTGGTGGGTCTCTCAGGAAGTTTCTAGAGTAATGAATAAAATTATTTGCAGAAAAAAAAACGTTATTTGCAACTTTTACCTTCCAGAGCAGGAATTTCTGGGAATAATAAAGCCACGTTAATGTAAATAGGAGCAGTGTGGGTGTAGATATTAATAGTTCTGGCTTTTAGTGCATATACATGCCTTTCTTCAGCTTGGGAAAACATTACTGATTTGGATGTTTTGTTGTTGTTGTTGTTCTGAGTTCTTCTTCAGAATTAGTGATGGAAAATATGCCCACCTATTTTCTGAGCTTTTCATTATCTTCCTGGGTTGCAGAAACTGACTCACCAGTGTCACCTGAGAGGTAGAAAGGGGACGCATATCTATATATTGTTCATACCTTGGGTCTAAAGTTACCTAATGGATATGGGAAAAGGATGGTATAAAGTATAGTTCATTTTTGTTAGGTAATATTGCTTGTGATATGGAACCAAGGCTTGAAATGAGCTGAAGTCTGAAGATTTTATCTCAAGTCATTCCTATTTGCTTAATAATTATTGAAAATCTTTTCCAAATGATTGGCATTTGTCTTTATGCCTGTTTATAGACAGACATATACATAGAAATACAAAGACAGAGACAGAGAGAGAGAGAGAGAGATGATTTTTCATACACATGAAAAACTTTTTTGGCTAGGCCCAATGACACATGCCTGTAATCCTAGCACTTTGGGAGGCTGAGGCAAAAGGACTGCTTGAGCCCAGGAGTTTAATACCAGCTTTGACGACATGGTGAGATCCCATCTCTACATTTTTTTTTAATTAGCTGAGCACAGGGGAGCACACCTGTGGTCCCATCTACTCAGGAGGCTGAGGCGAGACGATCACTTGAGCCCAGGAGGCTGAGGCTTAGTTGAGCCATGTTGGTGCCACCGCACTCCAGCCTGGGTGACAGAGTGAGACACTCTCTAAAAAAAATCACAAAAAACAATCAAACAAAACCTTTTCCTTTTGGAATAATTTAAAATTTTTAAATAATTCAAAGACAGTACAAAGAGTTCTCATATATCATCCAGCTTTATCCATTTTTATTATCTTACATTATCATGATATATGAAATAAACATTAGTACATTACTAAATCCTAAAGTTAATTATGTTCTAACATTTATTTTCCCATTAATGTTCTAGTTCTGTTCCAGGATTCAATCCACGGTAGCACAGTATGTTTGAAAGTCAGACCTCCTAAGTCTTCTAGATTTCTAAACTTTCTGTCTTCCCTTGCTTTTTATGTCTTTGAAAGTCTTGAGGGGGACTGGCCAGTATTCTGTAGAATGTTTTCCAATCTGGGTTGGTATTCGCGAGAGAAAGAGCTAGAATGGACAGATGATAGATGGATATATAGATAGATGAATAGATGGCAAGGACTTGGCTTATGGGACTTGCTCAGTAAGACCAAAAATCTGGACAGAACATCAGAAAATATAGGCTAGAAACTTTCAGGCAGGACCTGAATCTGCAGTCCAGAATTCCTACCTCCTCAGGAAATCTCACTTCTTTTCATTCAGATTACTTAGGATGATCTTCTTTGCTTAAACTGATTATACAGGCTAAACACATCTACAAAATACCTGCATAGCAACACCTAAATTTGTGTTTGATTGAGTAACTATTTTTAACGTATTAATCTATTTATTTTAAGTTGAAAAACAGGCAAATATTATTTATTGTATAAACAGCCAGACTATAAGTTTCTTTTGGGGGAACAGTGATTGTAAAGGAGAATAAAAGAGGCAGAGTTTTCAGGTTCACACTCTTCCATCACTGGGTGCTGGGTTCTCATAGTACATGTATTTTGTAAAAATTTATCAAGTTGTTCTTTTATAAAATATGTGCTTTTTAGGTGTGTAAAATTAAAAACAATTTTTTCTTATTTTTTTTTTTTTTACTTTAGCTTCTGTGGTACATGTGCAGATCATGTTGCATAGGTACATACATGGCAAGGTGGTTTGCTACCTCTATCTCTACATCACCTATATCTGAGATTTCTCCCCATGTTATCCCTCCCCAACATTCCCCACCCACTACTGTCCCTCCCCTACCCCCTCAACAGACCCCAGTGTGTGATGCTCCCCTCCCTGTGTCCATGTGTTCTCATTGTTCAACACCCACCTATCAGTGAGAACATGTAGTGTTTGGTTTTCTGTTCTTGTGTCAGTTTGCTGAGAATGATGGTTTCCAGATTCATCTATGTCCCTATGAAGGACATGAACTCATACTTTTTTATGGCTGCATAGTATTCCATGGTGTATATGTGCCACATTTTCTTTGTCCAGTCTATCACTGATGGGCATTTGGGTTGGTTCCAGGTCTTTGTTATTGTAAACAGTGCCGCAATGAACATATGTGTGCATGTGTCTTTATAATAGAATGATTTATTATCCTTTGGGTATATACCCAGTAACGGGATTGCTGGGTCAAATGAAATTTCTATTCTTAGATCCTTGAGGAATTTGCCACATTGTATTCCACAATGGTTGAACTAATTTGCACTCCCACCAGCAGTGTAAAACTGTTCCTTTTTTCCACACCCTCTCCAGCATCTGTTGTCTCCTGAATTTTTAATGATTGCCATTCCAACTGGCATGAAATGGTATCTCAATGTGGTTTTGATATGCATTTCTCTAATGACCAGTGATGATGAGCTTTTTTCATATGTTTGTTGGCCTCATAAATGTCGTCTTTTGAAAAGTGTCATAAATGTCCACTTTTGAAGCCTAAGTTGACACATAAATCTTACCATCCCACTCAGGTTATGGGTTTTTGAAAGCATGCAACAGGGTGCATCCCATTATATAAGAGTGTATGTGATATCTAGATGACATTACAGTGATATTGGCCTTCATCACTTTGATAAGGGGGCATTCGCCATGATTCTTCAAAGTAAATCTATCGCTTTTCCCTTTTCTTTCTCTGCTCTTTGGAAATAAGCTACAAAGCTTAGAATGTCCTACGGGGTAGAAGGAATTAAACTTCACTTCTTGTATTGGGGAGTATCTACATATGTTATTTGAAATTATTCTGTAGAAAACAGTTGTTTCTTTTTTTCATTTATTTATTTATTCTGTCATTTATCTATGCTGGGATAGATTCATGCATATACTTTGGAATACAATCTAATACTATATCCCTTTGTTATTCAAGTTGTTCCATTGCTGGCCACTGAGAGCTTTATCAGGTTGGTTCCTATGTCTCTTTGACATGCTCCCATCCTTTTGCTTTTAAATCACTTTTTTTTTTTTTTGAGGAAGAAAGAGAGAAAGAAAGAAAAAGAATAAAAAGAAAAAAAAAGAATAAAGGAAAGGAAGAAAGAGGAAGAGGAAGAGAGAGAGAGAACAGGGGTGTTGCTTTATTGCCCGGGCTAAAATGCAGTCTAAAAATGGGTATGCCTGTAATTATGTTTAATAATAGAGACATTAAATAAATAAATAAATAAATAAAATGAGGGAAGAAAATAATTAACAAGCAGCCAACCAATATTTCATTTAAACCTGTAAATACGTGTGATGTAGTACTGATAAGAGTGTATATTTTGTGAATTTAAAGTGGAGAGTTCTATGAATGTTAATTAAGTCTACTTGTTCCAGATCTGAGTTCAAGTCCTGAATATCGATGTTAACTTTCTGTCTCATTGATCTGTAAGTCTCCCACTATTATTGTGTGGGAGTCCAAGTCTCTTTATAAGTCTTCTATATCTGGGTATTTCTGTATTGGGTGCATGTATATTTAGGATCTTTAGCTCTTCTTGTTACATTGATTCTTTTATCTTTATGTAATATCCTTCTTTGCTTCTTCTGATCTTTGTTGCTTTGAAGTCTATTTTATCAGCAAAAATTGCAACTCCTGCTTTCTATTTATTTATTTTTGCTCTCCATTTCATTGGTAAATTTTTCTCCATCCCTTTGAGTCTTTGTGTATCCTTGCATGTAAGATGGATCTGGATGTAGCATACCAATGGGTCTTGTCTTTTTTTGCCTGTCTGTGTCTTTGGATTGGGGGATTTAGTCGATTTAAATTTAGAATTAATAACAATATATATGAGTTTGATGCTGTCATTTAATGTTGGCTGGCTGTTTTGCCCATTAATTGATGCAATTTCTTAATTATGTTGATGTTCTTTATTTTTTGGCATTTTTTAGAAAGGCTGATACTGGTTGTTCCTTTCTATTTGTAGTGGTTCTTTCAGAAGCTCTTGTAAAGCAGGCCTGATGGTGATGAAATCTCTGAGTGCTTGCTTGTTCACAAAAGATTTTATTTTTCCTTCGCTTATGAAGCTTATGAAGTAAAAAAAAATCACTTTTTTTACTTTCTAGTACTATAAGATGCTTTAGGCTCATCTTGTATTTTCCCTGTCCTGGTCTTAGAATCAGTTATTTTTCCAAGAAACCTGTTGCTTTTATAAAAAAAAAAAAAAAAAAAAAAAAAAAAAAGCAGTATTAAGAAACCAAGAAGAATCTGAATGTGCAGTGTACTCATTGCTAGTGGGTGGCATGGTTTCTAGACCCTCTCAGAAGATAGTGTTAGGTAAAATATACTAACCTGTATATCTATAATTGTTTTTGTATTTATCCAACTATATCTTTATTAAGCTAAACATTAGTTTATCTGATGTGTCCAATTCTACTC